ATGTTTGTGAAAGGATATTATATTACTATTGAATTATTATTATAAAGTCATTGAGAATAATCTACTAAATTATAATAACATTATCTGCTAATTTATAATAACATTATCTACTAAATTATAATAACATTGTCTACTAAATTATAATAACATTATCTACTAAATTATAATAACATTATCTACTAAATTATAATAACATTTTCTACTAAATTATAATAACATTATCTACTAAATTATAATAACATTATTCATGCATTTAAAAATATTTATATATATTGCCGAAGATGTGGTTATGATTTTTAAGATAAACCCGGCCGAAGGCCGGGCAAAAGGGCCGAAGGCCCGTTTAAGGGGTCTGGGGGCGAAGCCCCCAGGATTTTATATGTATGGACCCCCTCTAAGGAAAATTCCTAGCTACGCCACTGCCATCAGCATTTCTCCTTCTTCATCACAATTCCCACAATACAATAATGCTATCACTAATGAAAATTTAAATTTATCAGTAAATGGATTATAAAATTAATGGCATTTGTCAGCAAAAATTTTATCACATCCTACTTATATGAATTTTGAATTTTAATTTACAGAACAATACATAAATTTAGCCATAAACATATCTGTGAATTTTAACCTCAAAGGTTTTCCCTCCTTGAGGCATATTATACTACTCTATTGCATCTTGGTGTTCAAGTATACACACTCTGGTTCCACTCACCATGAATATTTTTCCATCTTCATCTCAATTCCCACAACACAATAATGCTATTAATAATGATATAGATCAATTACCCCATTGTAAAACCATCTTTGCAATCAAAGCTTACATATCATGATCACATATAATAAACTGAAGATGGACAATGAAAATTATAAAATCATTCCAGATAGAAAATTTTAAATTTATTAGTAAATTGTATAAATGACAAAAATCTCTTCACATTCTACTTATATGAATTTTAATTTACAGAACAATACATAGATTTATCCATAAAAACATCTGTGATTTTTAACAATAATGATATTCACCTTCACCCTAAATATGATAAAAATTCATCCATAAGCCTACTAGACCTCAGCACAGCACCTACCAAATGCAACTGCCCATTATGTAATAAACTTATTAAAGTAACCAAATTGGGGCTATTGCCATCAGTAACCATAAAATAAAGTGTCGTCAATCTGGGTTACACATATCACCAGCAATTCCTAGAAACCTTAATGCCTCTGCCCTTGCTCTCACAATTAAATAACCCATAGTCATCATTCCCACATCATTGGCTGACGTGCTCACTAGCCCAATAATCCCTACCTTCACTGTCACAAAGGCTTCGACGTTTGACCCAGCCGACTCAAATGTAGGAATATTTCTAACGACACCAAAACCATTTTTAATTTTACGAATACCTAAAGAAGCAAGGCTTCAAGTTGTGAGACACCTGTCAAAAAACTTGATTTCCTTGTTAAATAATTATTCGTCTGTAAAACACTGGTTAGACACCACTACCTTACAAGTTCTTAATCCTGCCAGCAAAAAATCCCTGACCCAACAAATTAAGGATGCTACTATCTACCCCTTACCCATAAACCACATTACCACATCTTTTACGAGTGATGACACCGATAAAAATATAAATCACCAAAATGACCTGCAATTGGATAACCTGAATGTTAAATCCGCCATACGTCTGACAATATCCTTCAATAAGCTGGCACCCTACGATTTAGTAACTTATCAGGCCCTTCTCCTAAAACACCACTCATACGATTTTAAAAATGAAATACCGACTTACCCTAAAACTCCTATAATTGTGGCCACTTATACCCCAAGCGACGTTAGAAAGGCTATTCTCTCCTTCAAACGCGATTCCTCGCCTGGGTTCGATGGGTTTCGCCCAATATTCTTACAAGACCTAACCGCACCTTACATAACACAACAATGTGACGTTCTAGAAAAAATTACCCAATTAATCAACCATATTCTTACTGGAGGCATACCGCCTCCATTATTCCACTGCTATACGAAGCTAAACTGATCGCTCTCCATAAACCCAATAAAGATATTCGCCCAATCGCTATTGGAACCACTTGGCGCCGATTAACTGCCAAACTAGTAGTTAGCAGATTATTGTTCACAATATCCAATCACCTTTGCCCGAATCAATTAGGGGTCAACGTAAAAGGTGAATGTGAGGGATTCCTTCACATGACCCGGATGTATCTACAAACGGATCTCACCAACTATATCCTAGTCAAAATAGACTTCTGCCTTTAACTCTCTAAGGCTTGGAGCTTTTCTAAATCCTATTCTCACCCTCTACCCAGAATACTCACAATTTATCTTCGATTGTTATGCTAATCCCTCACATCTTCAATTCGGAGATAGATTGATTCCTTCTAGCGATGGTATACAACAAGTTGACCCTCTAGGTTTCTTTTTGTTCTGTCTGGGCATTAATAATCTAATACGAGACAATAATGACCAATGCAAGCTAAATCTCCATAATTGGTATATTGACGATGGTATACTAGGCGGCCCACCGACTGAAGTTATGAAGGCAATCCAAATAATAAAATCCAGCGAGAAAAGTTTGGGACTTCGAGTTAATCAAGACAAAAGCGAATATTGTCCTACCTTAACCACGATACTATGTTCAATCATACACCATTGATCGCTTTAACACATCTCGGATCTCCAGTAGGTAAAGACGAGTCCTTTATCAAGTTCTTTGCCGATATTCTACGAGAGATATCCCTTATGCGCGATACACTATCTAGCCTCCCAGCTCACCAAGCTTTTTTCTTATAACGGACTACCTTTTAATTCCAAGAATTTTATATACACTCCGAGAGTCACGGATCTTTCAATATGACGTCAACTTCGCTTGAACTGGAGATTAAACCCCTAACAGAAGATACACTCAATCTTAAATTTGGGGAATTATCATGGCTACTGGCTACCTTACCAACCAAATCCGGCGGCATTGGTATAAGGTCACCTTCCCTACTTTCTGTTAGTGCGTTCATATCCTCTCGCTTGTCCTGCGAGCCCATAATTCAAACACTAACAAAACACCTGACTCCTTACTCCTACAGGAAATTGATCTATGGAAGTCCCATTAATCGATCCTTCATCGTCGGCATTACAGAAGGATTGGAACTAGTTGGCACCTCCGTTGCATTCCTTAAATCGAGGAGCCAACCAGAGGACCATTCTCTACTCTTCTCCATTTCCGAAGGTAGTGGGTACGAATTTCTTAAAGCCTTCCCATCCCAAAACCTTGACCAGCTCCTAAGCAATGATGAGGTACGTCAGGCCAACGGTCTTAGACTGAATTGCGATATGGTAATACCTTATCACTGTATCCTTTGTCAAACGTTGGTCAACTCCAAAGGCCGTCACTCTCTAAACTGCAAGCGCTGTAAAGGCAGATTCATTAGACATTCAAAATGCAATGATACAATTGCCAGGGCCTTAAAATCTGCCGGCATCCCATCAACCCTCGAACCTACTAGCCTTTACAATTCCAATAGTAAGCCGCCGGTTGGTTCGACTATTGGAAGAGGGGGAATTCCTAACTTGGGATTTCTCATGCATCGATCCTCTTGCCCCTTCCAATATAAATAGAGATGCCATACTAGATGCGGAGGCGATTAAACTAGCTAAATATTCGTCATCTCTTCCCGCCAATTATACATTCTTACTATTAATCGCGACTACTTTAACGTCGTTCGGCTCTCATACCCTAGACTTCATTAAAGAGCTAGGAAAACGGATCTCTGCTAGGACCGAGGATCCCATCGAGTGATTCTACCTACGCCAACGATTAGCCATAAACATGGTAAAATACAATTATCTCAGCTTTATTTTTCAATATCCGAAACCCCGTGTTTAAACATCCTATGCATAGTATAGACTTTGGCCATTTTGTTGCCTATTATAATGTTAGCGCTAAAAGGGAACTTTAATCTCAATCAAAAAAAAAATAGCAACAATTAATGAATTTGTATAATTGTGATTTACTAATATTATATTTTTTTTTACTATTATTAAATTATCTTGATATAAATTGACGATATAACGAAATTATAACAAATGGACATTATATGAAAGTTAAATATCTATTAATTAATAAAATATACAAATCAAAAAAATAAATAAGTAATTATACTTATTACCAAAGTATTTTATTATTATAAGCCTGCTATTTTCCAGAAAAGGGGGTCCCTTAAAGGGAATTTATATTTCGATTTATTTCGGACTTTTTTCATAATGCATTCTAATCGTATCTAAATTGTATTTTATTTTAATTGTCACACTAAGTTTATCTATTTGATACTTATTAAAAGATGATCAAACTTCTACTTTAAAGTTATAAATTAAATTTAATCAATTGTGATTTTAGTTTTAAATTTATTCAATTGTGTTTTTAAGTAATAAATTAAATTTAAGCAATCATGTCATGCTATTAAAGATCAGAAGATACATTTGTTTATCAGTAAAATGATAATGGCTTCCCCTTAATGCCCTTTATAAATTATATCTTAAAGTAATATTAGACGGTTGTATTTGGAAGACTTTAAACAGTTTTCTACATCTATTATATTTCTCCTTATAATATAATTTCTACCTCCTGTTAAATCAAACTATTCACTTTATTGGAAGAGGGTTAGTTCCACTCATAAATTAGTTTCCTTGGTACAAGGTTTGTCGGTATCCTGAGAAAAATGGCATATTTATATGAAGGATAGACCTTCGTATAATTCACGTTCTCTTATTTTGGGTAGGTCTATGAGCAACGTGCAAGATAAGATAAGATTTACATGATCTGAAATACTGGTGTCAGAAAGTTTCAAAATTATTATCTTGATACAACAAATTATATATAATTTTTTTTATCATTAAAATTATTTATTAAAATTTTTATATATAAAATCTAAAAATATGTAAAAAAATAAAATAAACTTTAAGGAAATGGTTTTATAAATATTTAATCATGATTGACGCAATCAGTCTTTAAGGTTTCTATATAGGTTTACCAAAATCACGCATCTTCATGTTCGAACTCTTTCATTTTACAAAATCCATATTTTTAAAAGTGGTTTGTCGCAAATTCCACCCAAAGTCATAGAAACATTATTTATTATTAATATATCTAAATTTAGTTCTCTCATTGGAAAGGACTTTTTGTCATTGAGAGATTTTAACGACTTAGAAATTCAGCAGTTTTTATGGACTGCCTATGATTTAAAACATAGAATCAAAGAAAAAGAAGAGGTTATAAAAATAAATTTAATTTTTTAAAGTAATTGAAAAAGTATTTACCAATTCTACAAGGAAAATCGATTGCAATGATTTTCCAAAAGAGAAGTACACGCACAAGATTATCAATTGAATCAGGTGATAAGTCATGTATATAAATGTTATTTTATTTATAGGGGCCACAATTTTGGGTGCCCATCCAATATTCTTAAGCAATAATGATATACATCTTGGAGTTAATGAGAGCTTAAAAGATACTGCCAAGTTTTAATTTTTTTATATTAATTATTAAATAATTTCATTAATATTTGCCTATAAGCTGCCACCAAAAACCGAGGGAAGAGGCACTGGAGGTGTCATTTTTTAAATTTCTATCAAAAATTGTTTTTTTTTGTTATTTTTGGTAAATAATCAGATAAAAATATGATTTAGGTAATAAATTAAGATATTAATTAGGTAATATATGAAGTCAGATTAGAATATGATTTAGGTAATAAATTAAGATATTAATTAGGTAATATATGAAGACATGTAATATATTATGACAAAATATATAATTTACAAGTGAATAAATTAGATGATAATATTAATTAGAGACCTGCAAAATTAAAAAATTTAGCTTGCCAATTTTTCCCTAATATAAACCTGTTCTGTGGACCAAAACCCAAATTAAAAAAAAATCTTTTTAATAATATATCTCAAACTTAAAATGTATATATATTATTTTCTATTTTAATTTTATGGACCAGATTTGAATATATAGAAATAACTGATAATTGTTAATAAATTTTATCTTATTTTATTTTTTTAAAATATGAAAATGAATAGTAAATATTTCCCACCTCCTAAATTTTTTCATAATTCTGATATTTAATCGGGTAAATAAATAAGCAGAGAGGAAATATATATTAGTATTTTTGTGGCCATAGGCTGCACGAATATTTTTTATTGATTTGATTATGTTACCACTAGTCTGGGTTGATCAACCCTGCAGTACTAATAAATGGAATGTAAATAAATTTCATTCATTTAATCACATGTTATCAAGTCATGAATGAATGTATGCATAAATTAATGAATGAGTGTATAAATGAATGAATGAGTGTATAAATGAATGAATGAGTGTATAAATGAATGAATGAGTGTATAAATGAATGAATGAGTGTATAAATGAATGATTGATTGAGTACTAATATTAATAATAATTTATATAATATGGTAATATATATAGTATTAATTTTAATTTATGTAATATTTTAATATGCACTTATAAGGTGTCAATTAGTATGTAACCATTACTCAAAATAATATTTAACACTTATTATTTTTTTAAATTGGCTACTAATCTATTAATTTATAAGGAAAAAAATATATTTTTAAAAAGAAGAAAGAAAGCATTTTAAAGTATATTGGTTAATACATAATATTTGGGTAATTCCATTACAAATCTACCAGTGATTCGGCTGACCCTCAAAAATGAATAAAATTTGGCAATTTTAGTTATTTATGTTGTAGATGTTAATAAAATCTAAATTTTAGAGTGCCAGCTCAATCAGATACAAGAGAAATATACACCCTCAAAGTTGAAAATCGCTGATGCGTGATTTCATTAAATCTTGTTTTTTTGAAAAATACTTAAGATAGAGTTACAAATAATATATCATTTTATAGCCCTTGAATTTTTATATTGGAAAATATTTTTTTAAAAAATAAAAAAATCCAAAATGTTTTGTATTTTGGTAAAAATAAAAATTAACATTGTTTGGAAGGGATTTTTTTTGGGTGTTGATAATCTCTAAAAATGTTTATTACCTTTATATTAAGTTATTAAATAAAAAATCTCAATAGCCATTTGTTTTTTAATTTTATTATTTTTATAAATAAAAAAGAAAATATAGATGGCGTTATATTATTTTTTAAAATAATATATTATATTTAATATAAATAATAGTGATGTTAAAAGTTACTTTTGAAACATAACTAGTTACAGTTACTAGTTACATTGACAAAAACATAACTAGTTACAGTTACTAGTTACATTTTACAAAAGTAACTAGTTATTAGTTACAGTTATTTTCAAAAGTAACTAGTTACTTACTTTATACATCTTTTATATGCGCATTATTTATTTATTGAATGCATTTATTTAATATAAAAAAAATTAGGATAAACAAAGTATAATCAGTTATTTAAAATAATATATAATTTATTTATATAAAAAATATCGCAAAATTGAATATTTACATCCTATATAAAAATATATATTTGCATTGAAAAAAAAAACATTTATTTTTCATAAAAATTAGAATCTAATAAATGTTTATTTGCTTTTAACAACAAATTAATTTCAAAGTTATTATCTAGGAGACGTGCTCGTTTATCTCCAAAAACCAGCTTACCTGGCTGAATAAGCGCTCTACGGGAGCACTTGATGTTAGAACAACATTATATTTAATAAAGAGTAATTTTAACTTTGGAAAATCGTTATATAAAGAAAAAGTGTTGTTATTAGATTTGATAAAGTTTTCTATAAGTTCATTATCCAGAATATTTTGGCACTTTAGGTCAAAAAATTCAACTACATCAAGTGATGTTGGTTTTGAGCATGATTCATTCGTCTGGGATTCACTTTGAGGTATTAAGGTATTTATTAAATTTAAAATTTCCTCCTTTTTTGCTTTATTCCTTTCTTGCCTAATCCAAGGCCAGTCAGTTTTAAATAAAGGGTGAAGAATTGCAGCAATGATGTTGTCATTATCATAAAGATTATTAAACCTATAACATGTTATTATTAATTTATAAATAATTATTTGATTTTAGTTACCTTTTTTCAATACTAGCTAATATAGTATCCTTTAGAGGTTGACAATATTTTAATCCCTACACATCTGCCATACATATAAGTATTTGTGTTATTGTTGGGAACAATCAGACCTTTTCACAAAATTTTAAATTAATAAATTTAATTTAAAAATAAATTTAATTTAAAATTAATTTATCACAACATATTAAAAATAAAATTAATTATTTGAATATATCTTTAAAAGTAACTAGTTACTTTTGGCAGTTACATTTCAAAAATTTTAACTAGTTACTAGTTACAATTTTAAAAATATAACTAGTTACAGTTATTTTTTAGCCAAAGTAACTAGTTACTAACTAGTTACCTTAACATCACTAATAAATAAGTATTATATTGGTTATTAAAATTTAAAAAATCGATTAAGTATAACCAAGATATCTTGGGTCAATGAAGCAAGCTATACGGATATGATTATTAGGACGCTATATTTTTAAATTTTATATACAAACAATAATAAAAAATACCTTTTGTTTTAATCTTATCCCATTTTGCACTTATTAATAGAATTTCCTGAGGCGATAATTTATAGGTACATCCTATCACTGTTATGGTATCTTCTATCATTATTTGATAAATGGGCAACCATATTTTTTCCTCAATTGTTGGGTAAAAGATAGATGGTGATGGTCCTTGGGGATGTAAAAAGGAAATATATATCTCCGTAGTTATTTTATTTTTTTAGTAATGTGACCAACCACCAAAAATCGTCATAACATATACGATCCTTTAATATCGGCAAAAACAAATTATCGGCATTTGAGATATTGTTAATTTGAAAGTCCTCTGCATATGAATATATATATTAATATTTAAGTTTACTTAAACTCAAAGGTATTACAGCATGTATTTCCTGAGTTCCTGGAATGGGGCAAGCTAAATTGAATCTTTCTCGTAGTTTAATCTCTTCTAAATTGTATTATTCATTGGTTATATATGTAAAATTTACTGATTGCAAATTTTGTTTTGCAAACTGATATAAATCACAACTTGTTAAAATGTGTACAGAACTAGTGCGCTGAAGGCTTGATCATGCTGCTAATCTTTTTAATGTTCCACCAAGGCCTTTACATGGGTTTTTTCCGTGGGATGTTTTAGCTAGAGATCTGGTACCCGGCCCGGCGGGCCTAATATTTTTTAAGAAAATATGGGTCGGGTCGGTCCTTAGAAATTTTTTAAAATATATCTAAATTTATCAATTTTATGTTGAATTTTTTATGTAAAATAAAAATATGTGATTTTATTTATAGAAAGTAGACGCCAAATAACATATATCATTTATTTTGAGTAATTATAAAAATTAATTTCTATATTTAAATAAATTCGGGCTGGGCCGGGCAAAACTTTATAAAAAAATTTCGGGCCAAGCCGTGCTTGAAAAATAAGGCCCGATGCAGATCTTTAGTTTCAGCTGCTACACCAAAATCTGATTTATGATAAACACCGATTTAAAATTTTTTCTGTTCTTATATTGTGCAACTGATCCGTCAGAGCAGTAGTATATTTTACTTGGCTTTTTGCTTAACTGATTAGTCAAAAATAAACGAGAGTAGATTCACAGTGAAAGGGTATATATCTGCAAATTATGGCCTTAGGAAAAAATGGAATACGATATTTTATAATAGTTTGAATATAAAATTTTAAAATATGTTTACTTTGCAATATAGCATCCTAATAATAATCATATCTGTATGGGCTGCCTGCTTACATATCGCCCCATGACATCATATTAGTTATATTCATTTGATTTTTTAAATTTAAACCAATACAATTCATATTTTTATTAAAAATGTTATATAATAAGGATTTTTAAATATAACGTCATCTATATTATCTTTTTTATTTATATAAAAATTCAAATAAAATTAAAAAAACAAAAATGGCTATGGATATTTTTTATTAAATAGTTTAATATAAAGGTAATAAACATATTTAGAGAATATCAACACCTAATAATGTTGATTTTATATTTTTACCGGAAATTTTTAATATTTTTTTGATATTTTCCAATGTAAAATTTTAAGGTCTATAAAATGATATTAAATTTGTAATTCTGTCTTAAGTATTTTTTTAAATAAACAAGATTTAATGAAATCACGCATTGCGCGATTTTCGACTTAAAAGGCTTATATCTTTAGATCTAGTTGAGCTATCACTTTAAAATTTTGAAATACTAAAATATACAAAATAGATAACTATTAGGGCTGTGCCGATCCACATATTTTTCATTTATTCCTATCCGATATTGCTTCAAACCCGATCCGATACCGATCCGATATTTTTACTGTTTTTAATCACCCCCGTTTGAACCAAATGTAATTTAGAAATCAATATTTTTTATGCAAAATATCGAATTATGAATTTAGTTTAATTTTTTTATTTCTACAATTAAGACTATAATAAA